TATTAAAGGTGCACAGATGATTTTAATCTTTTAATTGACATTTTCAAAGATGAGAAATGTTTAATGATAATTCATTTTAATATTACTGAAAAGCCATTGATCAAATAAGTGCAGAACATACGACTATCAAAATAAAAATGATTAAAAAAACACTTCAGCTTAAAAAATGTTTTGCCAAGAACTGAGATTTGCAAATAACTCAAAAGCCTAGAGGGAAACACATCTATCGAAAACAACGTAAACAAAAAAAGTCTTTGTTAAAAGCTGCTATGCTTGTACTTGCTGTGACATACATGCTGATGTAATTGTACAGGTTTAACCACTCACATGTCTCTTGGCAAAAACAACAGCACTACGGTGAAGGAAAGTTCATCTTGTCGGCCTGATTCATCTTAAGGTGGTTATCTAAGATCTGGAACAGCTCCTGAATGTTGGGTACATATCCCGATTGCAACTTGGACCAAATTGGGATATCTAAAACAGAAAGGCATAATGATGTTTCTGTGATTATGGCGTAAAAAGTAGATATTTTTCCTAAAGAGAATAGTGGTGATCCTAATGAGATTACCATTCAGTGTAATCTCAAAAGCTCCTGTTGAGAGGAAATGGGTCTCCAGCATATTACTAATAAAAAAGGCCATGAGGCAGGAGAAAATCTGCAAAACAGAGCAAGCAATTGTGAGAAATCGTTCTTTCAAGCTAAAATAGCTTCAGGTTAGAAACACAGTGCAAAGAATAGACAGATAAACATGTATATGGGTCAAAGACGTGACGACCCATTTTGGTGTTTGCATCAACTAAAATTCACAAGAGAGATTTTATACATAGAAGGTATATTAAATCTAAATAAAATGTAGACTTTAGTTTAATACAAAAAAAATTATATATAAAAAAATTGTGGGGAAAAAAAGAACAAAACTTAAAAAAAATGTTTAAAATTGGTAAAAATATGTTCTGTTGATAATTGTTTTTTAGAGCTACAAACCTTTAAGAAAACTGACAGCTTGAAATAAAATTTGCGTAATGAACAATCACAAATCTCTATTATGATCACACGGTTATAATTGTTATTAAATTTAATTATTTATGCTTTGCTGATTTAATCAGTACATGTTATTTTAAACAGAAAAAAGACTATTCATAGTCAATCATTAATGAACGCAAACAGCATTGAAACAATATTTCTGTTTATGTAAGATCTCCTTCAAACAGCAAATAGGTGGACTGATTTTACGTCTGTAACTCAGGCATTTAAAGTTGCTACGTCATCCCTTGCATTCCACTAATACCAGGTCTGCCCAGTACGACATGGTTACAGCTCTGAAATACCGCTCATTCCTCAAAATATGCGTCAGTTAACGTGGTGACGTTTATTTTTAGACTCTAGTTTGTTATAAAACAAAGTTAAGAGTCCAAGCCCTTCTTCAACAACATTACCTTATTCTCCTGACCCCAGGCCCATATTCTTGGAGTGTTCATTCCAAACATTTGGAAAGGATTTTGTCCAGTCACAATCAAAGCGATGGCAAGCAATTTAAAATAAGAGAGGAAATTTCCGAGATATCTGCAGAGGAAGATAAATGGCAAGTACAAGTCAGAACAAAAAAAAACACTATCGGAAACTCGGAATGACAGATGATTCCAGAAGATCTAGAAAACACACTCACTTGTTGATAGGTTTGGGAGGATAATTATCTCCCTCGATTCGGATGTCCGGGTACAGCTGGCTAATAGACCGGGAGTACTCCTGGAACACCTTACTGTACCCTCAGGAAATACTGAAAACACACAGTTAATGACTGCTATTATAGAAACGATTAAGAACATGCATGTTTTGAATTTTACGGATCCTAAATTTATTCATGTTCAACTTTTTTTGTGAGAGTGAATGTGTTTGTATGATTGTTGTTGTATTTATTTTTTGGAAATATTTAATAAAAACGTCAAATGAAAACATCAAAATAATTTCCAAATCCCATCCTATATTATTATAATTTTTTTTTGAAAATGTCACTTTGCTTCTATAGTCTATGCATGTCATTTATTTATTCATTAGATTTTATACAGATGTGCCCGTACAAAATTATCCCAATCAATCTAAAATGATGAGTTTTTTTTTTCTAACTACACCTATTTAAGCCATCTGGATAAATTGCATACTTATTGCAATATATATTCAGGGTTTCCACACTTTCACGAACAGCAGATTCAAGGCCTTTCAATGACTTTTTAAAGCACCATTATTTTTTTAACCAAACACAGTTGTAATCCACATGCAGCACCACGAAAGACCAAACTGTACTTAATATTCCACCTAATATTTATATTATAATAATGTCAGATTAATTTTCAAAAATTAATAGGGTCATGTTCACCTTTAATAAAGTTTGTTAAAATAAATACTGTTAATATTCAAAATTTCTAAAATATTAATGAAATGTGCATTATTTGTCAGTGCTATTGTACAACAATTAAATTCACGAATTTTTATTTAAGAATGTCTCAGTTTTTTGTTGTTTTTGACAACTGAGCACAATTGTTTAAATAAAACCATAAACAAATTTTATTTTAAATTTAATTCAAGCACTTTCAAGGCTATTCATGTCTAAAATTCAAGTGCGTTCAAGTACTTTTAAGAAGTATATTAAGAAGTATAAAAAATTATACATTTTTAAATTACAAGATACTCACTTTTTGCAGCAAATATGCTAATTTTGTATACAAACATTAATACGTTACGTTGTAGAAATATTCCTTATTATTAATATATTAACGTTACAGGGGTGGTTGATTTGCTTTTTGACAGTCAAATCAAGAAACACAGAACACATTTTGTCAGTTCATCCTATGTGTAATACAAACAAATAGATTTTTACACATTATAATTATTCATGTTATATATTTATCCATTTAATACATCAGAATATGTAATATTATTATTATTATTATTATTCGCATACGCTACATTAGCCGTTAGCATAGCAGCTAACATACATATTTAAAGTGTTAAAACATAAAAATGGCATTAATGTATGTAGAGTCTCTCACCAGTACTGGAACTTGAGGACAGGTCCCGTGTAGAACGTGTGTTTATTCTGTCGCTGTGTGTTGATGTCGGGTCCAGTGTTCTCCTGTTGAGTCACGCTGTTGCGGCCCACATAAATATCCTTCACAGTCACCACTGTGAACAGCAGCAGGGCCGTTAATATACCCGTCTGACTGTACTCCGCCATCTCCGGGCCCGTCCTCAGCCACAAACCGAACCCACAGACCCGCTGTAGCTGCTGCTGTCGCTGCTGCCGCCGCCGCTGAACTGGTACTTCACAAAAAAAATCAAAATCAGGATAAAGTGACTGGTTGCATTTCAAAATAAAAGTCTTCCACGCTGAGTCATGCAGGAGAACGTGTTCAGGGCGACATCTATTGGTGAAGTGTTTCATCAACCCGTTGATGCAGCTCCAGCACGCCACACTGTGTTCAATAAAGCACATGACATAAACGAACAAGTGATGATAAATAACTTAATGTGATTTAGTTTAATTAATTATATTATTTAAAAAGTGCTTATAAATCGATGATATAATATTCTAACATACGCATAATGTTAAAGCTACATTGTCATTGATTGCAAATTACAGTATGATGTAAAAGGCTAAGTTACCAAAACTGAAAATTATCTCACCATTTACTCAACCTTCACTTAATTGTCAGAAACCTGTTGGAGTTTTTTTTTCTTCTGTTGAACACAAAAGAAGATATTTTGATGGTTATGACATTTAAACCATGAAAATTTAGAGCCAATTGAGTAAATGATGAGTAGGCCTTCATTTTTATTTGAAATTTAATTTGAAAGTCCAAAAATAAAAATACTTTTGAGTGCAAATTGACCAATTAAATAAGCTGAGGGGTAAATCCTCTTTAATAGTTGACTTGGTGTTGCCTTTCAGGCAAATATTTCAGAAACCATTTTGCCTGTTTTTTTTTTTTTGTTTTTGTGTGTGTGTGTGTGTGTGTGTGTGTGTGTGTGTGTGTGTGTGTGTGTGTGTGTGTGTGTGTGTGTCTGTGTGCATTACCTTAGTTTTTTGTCTTGTCTTGCTAGCTTATGGCAATACCCATGTCTGGACTTACTTTGTGTTTTGTTTGCATTTGGTTCCTCTTCGGCTTTTCTATTACACTTTTCTATCCACAACACATCAGTGACTTCAGTGTTGATTGTGGAAATCTGGACAAAACATTTGAAACCTGAAGACTTTGCCTAATAATTTCATTTTCAATTTCTTAAACTTTGAAATACTAACAAAATCCTAAAACATGTTAACTAAATGCTAGCAACCTTCTAAATCATGTTAAAACATGATAGCAAAACTCAGAATCATGCTAGCAATAGCCTTGGTAGCATCGCAACAAAGAAAAACATTGTAACAACATGCTTAATCCTGCTAGGAAGACTTTAAAGCTGGAAGACTTTAGCCATAACTTTGATAAACTAACAATGTCCTAAATATGTTAGCAACTTGCTGAAATGTCAATAACGTACTAAAATGTTAGCAACCTGCTAATTTGTGCAAAAAACATTCATTCATCATTTTATTTTTTATAGTCTCTTTATTAATCCGAGGTCACCACAGCGGAATGAACCACCAACTTACTCAGCATATGTTTTTATGCAGCGGATGCCCTTCCAGCTGCAACCAATCACTGGGAAACATCCATACACGCTCATTCACACACACACTACCGCCAATTTAGCTTACCCAATTCACCTATACCACATGTCTTTGGGAAACCAGAGCACCTGGAGGAAACCCATGCGGACATGGGGAGAACATGCAACCTCCACACAGAAATGCCAACTGACCCAGCCAGGGCTCAAACCAGCAACCTTCTGGCTGTGACACGATTGTGCTACCTACTGCGCCACCATGCTGCCATGAGAAAAAAAAAAAAACATGCTGGCAAAATTTTAAATCATGCTAACAATAGATTAATAATTGATTATATTTATACTATTTTAAGAACCTTGTTTTGTGTGTTTGCGAGTTATATGTGATATCCTGTATTTCTTCAACTGTGTCATGGTGCCTACAGTAGCTTGATCAGGACTCCCTGGTAGAAGAGATATTGTATCCCAATAGGACCTGGTTAAATAAGTAAGTAATAAGTAAATAAATATGTAAAATACACACACAAAAAAAAATAAAAAAATACATAAATAAAACAACTTAATGCTTAAACTTGCTATAGCCATAAATATATACATTTTTAAACTCCAAAAACACTGACATGGCTATTAATTTCAATCATTTTGGTCACCTATCATGTGATGTATTTTGCATTTTCTTTGCCTAATTTTACCAGTTTTAAATTGAAATAATAGATATTAATAATAATATTAATAATATTATAATAATATTAATAATAATATTTTACATTTTTCTTGTTGTACCTAATTAACATTTAAACATGTATATATATATATATATATATATATATATATATATATATATATATATATATATATATATATATATATATATATATATATATATATTCTTTTATTATTCTGTGCCTATTCTGTAAATGTGAGCCCCAGTCCAATACAATCTATAGCCTCTATTTATTTAAACATAACTGATTACTAAGCACTCTAGGTAAGATTTATTACGACCTTTCCCACTCGTTTATATTTAGTACAATGAAAAATGAGTCCTTCCACATACTCAAAATCCATGTTTAACTCCTCTCTGCATTGCAAATGTACCTATTTTTGTATTTATAACAGCAGGAAGATTATAATTGCATGCAGTCTTTTTGTCCTCTATTACTTTTCTCAATCAATTTTTGTTATGTTAGAGGTGAAAACATCTACTTAATTGAACCGCTGTAAAAATTCATCAGATCATTAATTTTAAAATATTTTTGCATAAATCTGTTAATCAACCTTAGTCCTGATCAAAACTTCTAAATGTTTTTTTTTAAAAATACTTTTAAACTCTTTAATTGACAAGTTCACAAATGATGTCACTGATTTGGTGAGAGAAATCACACAAAATGAGGTATTTCCAATATAAAAAGTAATTGTGGACTGTTTTTTAACCTTTTATTACAGTCTTGGACATGAGAAGGATTAGTAACAACAGTGGCTTTGAAACATTGTTAGATTTAATTTTTTTCTGTGTAATTTACTGTTGGTGGCTGTTTTTGCCCCATTAACATTTATTTTAAGCACATTTGATGGTGCATAAATACAGTCTTTGTTTTTGTTTACTTCATGTAGTTCTGAGAGCTGAGATGCATATTTAGTTTTTCTCATACACATGAAGGTAAGTGCGCAAAGGTCACTCTCACACTTTCACACACTCACAGACACACATAATTTGCTGTTATACTCATGTAAAATCAAGATTTTTTTTTAATGCACAGGCCTAGTTAAAGGGTTTATTGTGCCAACTGACGATCGACAGTAAAAAAATACTAACTTTACTTCTTCCCAACAGGGAAAACCATCAACAATAAAAATTGCATGATTGTATGATGTCATGGTCATTGCAATAAAAAAAAATTGTGGTTATAATGGAAGTCAATGGGGCACAAACAGCCACCAACAGTAAAGTGCTTAAGTCACTTCACTGACCTCCGATTAGTTTTAAAGTAAATTTTAAGATCCTGGTCATTACATAAAGAGCTCTGCATGGTCAAGCACCCCTATATATTCAAGATCTTTTTACGTGGTCACTCATAGCCTGTCTCTGAGGTCTTCTGGCAAAGACCTTTTGGCCATTCCCAGAACTTGGTCACTAAAGGTGACCGTGCCTTCTGTGTTGTGGCCCCAAGGCTCTGGACCTATAACACTGAGAAATCTGGCATCAGATAAACTTTTTAAAAAGCGTTTAAAGACAAATCTGCTTGGACAAGCTTTTAATTAACAGTATTAGTGTTTCTGTACTTGGATTTTTGACTTGTTTGGATATGTTTTCCTTTATTGATATGTGTTCTTTTACCTGTTTTTTGGTTTTCTCTTATTGTAAAGCACTTTGTGACTCAATGTCTGGGAAAGGTGCTTTATAAAAAAAACCCTTTACTTACCATCAGTAAATTAAGGAGAAAGCAAAAGAAAATAAATACAAATCAATGCATCAAAGGCAATGTTGTTTCACATGTCCAAGACTTTTGATAAAAGGTAAAAGAAATCCAGTTTACAATTACTTTTAATATAGACAATACATCATTGTGTTTTTCACCAAATCCGTGGCCTCATTTATGATTTTGCCAAATAAAATTTTATATGCAATTTAGTAGTTTTGATCACGACTGAGGTTGATTAACAGATTCATGCAAAAAAAAAATTTGAAAAAAATGAAAAAAAAAAAGTTATCTAATGCATTTTTACAGCAGTTTGATTCAGTGCATATTTCATAACAAATGGTAATACATTTTCCCAAAGTGTATTGTTGAGCGTAAAAAAAAAAATTTCAAAGCATTTTCTCAAAATATATTCATTCTATATAAATCATTCTGCTAGCTGAAACACAGAAAAAGTTATGGCCAAATTAAGACTCAAAATCACCCCCGAGTGGATGAAAACACATCCAATAGTACCTAAGGGTTAAAAAGATAAAGTAAAATAGTAACAATGCTTTTTGAAAATCATTTGATCAGTAAAAAAAAAAAATCTAGGTTTTGTTTCTCTAAAGCAGAGATGCCCAAACTAGGCCCTGTGCGCCTAAGTTGGCCCACAGTAACCTTTGATTTGGCCCGCCATCCCATCTGAGAAGAGAGAAAGAATGATGGACATGCGAGAGGTTGTCATTTCAAATCTAATGTAACCTTTTGTTTGTTTTATTGTTAAAAGCTAACAGAAATAAAATGTTTCAATTAAATGGTGTAAATTAATCAGATTTAGTTTAAATGTACATACTGTCACCCGACAGAGGACAAATCAAATAAATAAATGTTATAAATGTGATTGTTTATGTTATTATTCCAATAAGTTATCATTTTAAATGTTTTACTACATTAGTTAATATGATTTAAAGTAATGTTTCTATTTACCTTTAAATCTTATGAAATAATTTAGGATATTACCCTTGGCAACTTTAATGTAATATAGCTTGATATGTATTTTTACCTTCGGCCCATGGCTCTCAATAATTTTTGGCCTTTGGTCCTTTATATGAAAAAGTTTGGGCACCCCTGCTCTAAAACACAAACTCTAATAACCGCTGATGTTTTCAAGCATTTCTCAGAGAATAAAAGACTGTGATTCAAGATATGTGAGATTTAATTTGGTGCTCAAAACCAAACATACATACTCCAACATGTCACACAGCATACAATGGCACAAAACAAGACAAATAATAAGGCTTCAATTGAGCGGATATAAGGCCAACACTGTTGAAACCAGAGAATTCTCCTATGAATTGGACAGTATTTAAAACCACACAAACAAAAAACTGCAACTTCTCCAGTATTAAATCGGAAATAATAAAACAGAATAGGCAGTAGATAGAGGACAAAAAACAAAGTCACAACAAATTCTTCCTTAATTTACTGTAAAATTTTCACATTATCTTATTATGAATTCTTTCAATGCCATCTTTCTTTGTTATGTTAATTGAATTCTTTTCTGGTCCTTTTAAAGAAGCATCTAACAATCATTAGCCTGCTTAAATATTTTGTTTGTGCATTTGGAAGAACCGCTTTGAGCTGGTGAAATATTGTGATGCTACATAAAAACCTTCCATACATTTATACTCGTCCCCTTGGAAAGAAGCGTGTGGTGAATTGTGAGTGTTATCAGATAAAACATTGGCTCATTATGTATTTAACGCTATCCGTCAGATTCGATAGCTTCCTAATTTAAGATATATCCAAGCAGTTAGTGAGGGTTAATGTTAATAATCTGTGATAGGAAAAAATATATTTAGGCAATACTAACAGTTATAACTCAAATTCACCCAAAAATGAATATTATTAAGGGATTTAGTCGCCCTGCACTTGCTCTGAACTGCTAAACACAAAAGATGATATTTTGAAGAATGTTATTGGTATCTGTTGACAATCATATTACACTGTAAAAAATGCTTGGTTTTATGCAATTTCTTTATGTTGGATACGATTTACAAACATAAGTGGACTGAACATAAAAAAAATTAAGTTGTTCCAAAAAAAAAAACTTAAGAATTATGTTGTTTCAACTAATTTTAAATATAAGTAGTATAAACAAGCAGCAATAGTATGACTGTATAGGGAATCAGAAAATATAGAAGTCAATGGCTGTATTGTTTCATCATTCTTCAAAAATATGTTCTTTTGAGTTCAAAAAAATTAAGTAACCCAAAATGATTTAGGAACACACAAGGGTGAGCAATTTGTAAATACATTTTTCATTTTTGGATGAACTATTTCTTTAAGCTCTAAGCTTTAATCTCGTGGCAATTCACAACTATTTAAGATTTGTGCCTAATTTTTTAAATACTTGTTTTGGTACAATTCGATCACCATTCAGTGACTGATATATTTGGGAAAGGGCTCTCTTAGTGAAAATCTTATTGTGCAAATGTATATGAATAGCCACTTAATAGACCATCAGCTAATGATAATCTCTTGTACTCTAAACAATATCTAAACTTGATTGCGATCTGATGTATGAATACAAATAAATAAGTGACAGAACCATCCATTTTTTAAAAAGTCACGATTTTTGAAACCTTACTTTTAAGTGGTATTTTGCAGATCCTGTGTGCCCTGAATTAATCACGAGAGATCAAAAAGTATAGAGGAAATCCCTTGCAAACATGTCAAGGTCACATTTTTGATTAAGGAAATGAAGCATATTATTGAGGTTATTTGCACTCTGACATTGTTTTAATGGCAATTTAACAGATTTTCCAACCAGAAATCCTAAAAGTGCATCTGAAGATTTCACTTTAAATAGGTGTATTGTTATTAAACTGATGATTGTCATTATATCTTCATTACTGTAACCATGTTTATATTAATTTCTTTTCGAGGTGGAGGGATTGGGATGTTTCTCTGGAATGATTTAATGTTTGTTTTCCTATAAATGTCTGACAACATTTCATTTTTCTGACAATGACGACTTGTCAGAATAGCTAATATTTAATTGAAAATCAGGATTATGAAATACTACAACAGAATTTTTAAGTGGAGAAATTTTTTTTCATTAGCTGTATGTATACATATATTTGTATATACTGTGAGGAAAATAAGTTCTGGCAACTGGCATAAGATGGCAGCTTAATGACGACTCTCATGTGTAGAATGCTTAGGTGTGATTTTATCCACAGACTTTAACAGTGTAAAAATCTTGATGGTTCTTTGTGTTTTGCCTATTCAAATTGATCTTTATTTTGATTTTTATTGTGATTGGCTGGGCCGTTCTACAGCTTGGGTTTCTTTTTCTGAAACCATATGAGTTTCTTTGGCTGTGTTTAGAATCACTGTCTTGTAAATGTCCACCCTGGTTTCATCTTTATCATCCTGATAATGTAGATGTAAGACAGAGGTTTGCTGAATAACAACTGAGAGATTTCAGCTGCTGTCTGGGAGTTCACTGCCTTTTTACATCTCCCTTTCTTCATGCGTTCAACACTTTTCTCCTGGATAACTTAATTTGTAAACTAGATTTGTTTCCTTTTTTATATGTATTTATTTGTTTGTTATCAACAGCTGGTGAAAATTGTAATGTCAACAGCAACTTAGAAATAGCAAATTAGAAATATGTAAATTATAATAAAAATTAGAAATATGTTTTCTGATAAAAATAGTGATTAGTTGGATACTAACTTCCCCAACTATATATATATATATATATATATATATATATATAGTAATGAAAACATGAACTTTATCAATATTCGTGATCAATATTTGTGAAAAAGTGTTAACTGCCATGAAAATAATGTCCCAATGCACAAAACAGTCTAAAAAAGGCATCATTTCCTTTCAGCAAATCATGTTTTCTCATCTCTTTGTTTTTATTCTGAGATGAAATGCAGCCCCAACATGTTCTTGACAGGCTTTGTGGGATTTGCTTTTGAGTGCAACTAGAACACAAAAAAAGCACACTTACAGAAAAACTGAGAAAGTTCATGGAGCAGCTGTCATTGAGTAACTAAAATTAGTCGCAGGCACATTCTTGCATTGTAAATTATCAATGTTAGTAATTTCACAGTTTAAGGTCCTCAGCACGGGCAGTTACTCTTGGGGTCTGGTTGATGCGTCAGCCTTACTCTGCCATCTTCTCTCTCCACATCTCTGTAAATCAGGGACTTTTGGGCTTTTAGACGACATGCCAGGCACATGAAAATGGAGTCCACGTTCTGGCTCTCCTTGGGATCTTTGGCTGATGTTTCAAACAGTAGCATGTTATAGGCATCGGCAAACTTGAGGGCAGTGTTGGAAGGCACCTGGATCTGGTCAACTAGATCACATTTGTTGCCCACCAAAACACGAGGCACTGCCGATGACACCCCGTGACCGTTGCACTCCTGAATCCAGGTTTTTAGGTTTTGGAATGAGGCCATCTTAGTGACGTCGTACACAAAAACAACGGCATGCACATTGCGGTAGTAGTGCTCAACCATGCTCTTTCGAAAGCGCTCCTGGCCTGCTGTGTCCCATACTTGTACCTGTTAAGAGAAAAAACAAGACAAAAACAAACATCAGCACTAAAGAAAAGTGACTCTGACAGCTAAGAAATACATTTATTTAATTTATAAAAATAATTATTTATGAATTGATCTTTAAAAATAAAAACTTTAACCATTCATAGGTATTAAGTATACATTCTGAAGATTTCCGTTCAAATCTTTGACCTTATTTTTACATAACTTTTAACGTCATGTAAAAGAAAAATCATGAAAAAATAATCACCTCTGCAATATTTACAGTTAGGGATTTTTCAGACTATTTATTCCAAAGCAACTTACAATTTTTCTTACACAAGCTTTTGCTACATAAGACAGATATAAAAATTGCTCAAAATAATAATTAATAATTTATTAAAATACAAATACATTAGGGCTAAATGATATTGGAAAAATCTGATATTACGATTTTTCTGCAATAAATATTGTGATACGAACACAGTTTCACAAGATTATCAGTTCTATTTTGCAATTTTCTGGGGAGTCTAACAATATTTAGGTGCAGTAATACCAGTGCAAGAAAATAGTTTTCTTAATTTGCATTTTCTCGTTTCTAGTACAAATAACGATTTTTTTTATAGTTCAAGTACAAATACTGTTTTATTCTCACCTTCTTAAGAAATAACAAAAAAGTTTTTTATTTACAACGAGCAAAATGATCTGCCATTAAGGTGAGTAAAATAATCTTGTTTTCACTTCGAAATGTAGATATTTGGTCTAGAAACAAGACAAAAAAATTGAAGCAAAAAAAAAAACATTTGCATAAATTGTTACTTACAAACACCAAAATTTTTTGTGCCCAAATGTTTTAAACTCTCCTGAAATGCTTGGTCATAGGCCTTAAAATCACAAGCAAATGATAATGTGTATGTATATATGATTGTATGTATGTATGTATGTATATCGAATGTAGCCTCCATTTGAAATTTTTCTTCTTTTTTAAGTATTTCCCAAATGATATTTAACAGAGCAAGGAAATTTTCACTGTATGTCTTATTTGTTTTATTTCGGCTAGAATAAAAACAATAATATTAGCACCTTTAAGCTATATATATATTTTATCGATAGTCTACAGAACAAATTAGCCTATCATACAATAACTTGCCTAATTACCCTAACCTGCCTAGTTAACCTAATTACCCTTGTTAAGCCTTTAAATGTCACTTTAAGCTGTATAAAAGTGTCTTGAAAAATATCTAGTCAAATATTATTTACTGTCATCATGGCAAATATAAAATAAATCAGTTATTAGCAATGAGTTGTTAAAACTATTATGTTTAGAAATGTGTTGAAAAATTCTTCTCTCCATTAAACAAAAATTGGTAAAAACAATAAACAGGTGGGGCTAATAATTCTGACTTCAACTGTATATATATATATATGTGTGTGCGTGTGAGTATACATTTGAAGTCAGAAGTAATAGCCCCCCTTTGAATTATTATCATTATTATTATTTTTAATTTTTAAATATTTCCTTTAGAATGTTTAACAGAGCAATGGCATTTTTACAGTGTGTCTGATAATATTTTTTTCTTCTGGAGAAAGTCTTGTTTGTTTTATTTTGGCTTTTATTTTATTTTTTAAACACCATTTTAAGGTCAACATTATTAGTATATTTTTTCGATAGTCTAAAGAACAAACCATCATTATGCAATAACTACCATAATAACTAATTACCCTAACCTGCCCAGTTAACCTAATTAACTACTTAAGCCTTTAAAAGTCACTTTAAGCTGTATAAGTGTCTTGAAAAATATCTAGTTAAATATTATTTACTGTCATCATAGCAAAGATAAAATTAATAAGTTATTAAAAATGAGTTATTAAAAATAATGTGTTGAAAAAAAAACTTTTCTCCGATAAACAGAAATTGGGGAAAAAAATAAGCAGGTGGGCTAATAATTCTGACTTCAACTGTATATATTCATTTACATCTTATGCTCATACATTTTTATAATCTTTTATATACCAGGTTGACAACCATTTGTTGATAGACCAGCGTAAGGTGCATCTATAACATTATGATACATTAACTTTTATCTGATAATAACATTTTGGTGCAGCTGATGGGGAGTTTGGAAAAGGTAATGACCATCTTTTACGAAGTAAAAACCAGTTACCATTTACCAAAACATTACATTACCATCCTAAGCAACAATAAAGAGCAGGTGTGACCAAAGCACTCGCATTTTTGTTTTTAATTTTCCACATGACATGTAATTTGACTCGCCTGTAATGGAAACTATAACTAGGCTATGTTTTTGACGCTGCATGCGATCAAAGAAACAGTAATGGTAGCTATTAACGTTACTCAGAATGTAAACATTGAGCTTCCTCGTGATGCTGCTGTCACTGAAACACACAATACAATCGTAATACAACGAGATGTCGGCCTTCAGGGCGAGAGCAACCCCTTCTATAAATCCCACCTTTATTTTCTCGCCCTCGATCTCCACCGCTTTCTCCCTGAAATCCACGCCGATGGTGGCTTCAGTTTTGCACGGGAAGGCTCCGCCGGTGAAGCGGAAGGTTAAACAGGTCTTTCCCACATTTGAGTCCCCGATGACAATGATTTTAAAAATCCGCGTCTGCACGCTGTGATCCAGAGACGTGCTCAGGTCTAGTGACGACGTGAGGTTGGCATGGCGTGAGTTGGCAGTTCCGTCTCTGTTTTCTGAGAATTCATTTGCCATAACGGTGAAATGATGTGCCGAGCCTGGTGTTCACTGGTCCGGCGGTGATGATGGTGGTGGTAGTGATGGGGGAAGGGATAGCAGATCCACTCCCTTTGCAGATGCAGGGAGTTTACATAGCCCGACAAGTGTTTGCCAACTGATGTAGTTGATTTAAGCAATTAAAAGGGAAATTAAAACTAAACTAAATTCTCCCCTTAAATAAACAAAACAACATGACATTTAAAGGGATAGTTCCCTCTCAAAAAACAATTATTTAGGCTATTTGTTCGTTTTTGTTGTCAAATAGGCTACTTGAATGAAGAATTTATTGCAGTAAAAAGGCTATAAAATGAAGTTTTCGAAGAATATTCACCTCTTTTTAAGACAAAAATCAATTCAACAAAGCACCAATAAGAATCTAAAACTGCTGTTTCTTTTAAAATCTTTTGAGAAACAGAAAACATATTACATATAAATCTCTGGTAGCTACATTTGAAAATTCTTAAATAAAGCATTTTATAGAAGTTAATGTTTTTGAAAGTGAAATTTCTAAAAGCATGAAAAATAATCTTATGATAAATTGTTTACCCCGCTGCAGAAAATTATTTAGCTGCTTTAAGTAAAAATTTACTTAATTTTAAGCAAGAATATTTTCTTATATTGTCAATATTTGCAATAGAAACAGGAAAAAACTCTTAAGAAATATATATTATTTTGCATTGTGGAAGACCATGAAAGCCCCAGATAATATTGTAGCATAATCGATTAAAAATTTAAACTGCTCTTATTAAGATGCTAGTAAAGTTAAACAACAGGGGTCATCCCCCTCCCAGTGTTTGTGTGGGTTTCCTCCGGGTGCTCCGGTTTCCCCCACAGTCCAAAGACTTGCGCTATAGGGGAATTGAGTAAACTAACTTGGCTGTAGTGTATGTGTGTGAATTCAAGAGTGTATGGGTGTTTCCCAGTGCTGGGTTGCATCGGAAAGGGCATCTGTTGTGTAAAACATATGCTGGATAAGTTGGTGGTTCATTCTGCTGTGGCAACCCCTGATGAATAAAGGGGAAAATTAATGAATGAATTATCTGATGCATTTTAAAGTTACACATTAAAGGACAATTATTATTTTGTAAAGGCACTGACATATTTGCACTCTTGCACTCATATTTGCATATTTGATATGTCAAATTCAGAATGAACTGGTTAATCATATGAATTTTTTTTTTTTTTAGCTTTTGGGAGGGCTGCTCTAGCTGAATCTGAGGACGTTTCATAATTGATTAAATAAACTGAAACAACACTGAACTGATCTCTATAACGATATTGTCTTCAGTTGAAATTGAAGGTATTTCATAACTGATGAAATTTAAATGTAGCAGTGTTATTTTTTTTCTGTCAATTAAAGCTTGTTTGAAGAGTCTGTATTTTTTTATGTTGCTACACTACCGGTCAAAAGTTTGGGGTCAGTAGGATTTTTAACTGTTTTAAAAATAAGATTCTCCTGGTTCACAAGGCTGAATTTATTTCATCAAAAATGCAGAACAAATTGTAAAAATGTGAAATGTAATTGCACTATAAAACGACTGTTCAAAAGTAGTTTATCATTTAACTGAATAATTCATTTAAGTGATTTTAATGATGAATATTAAGCTTCATTACATCAGTCTTCAGAGTCACATGATCCTTCAGAAATCACACTATTATTATTATTATTTTATTATTATTATTATTATTATTATTAATGATAATAGTAATAAAAGCAATAATGACTGGAGTAATAATTTTATTTGAAACTACATACAATAATTAAGAAATAAAAATTTTAATAAATTAATACAACTTTAACAATTTAACATTTTTTTACATTTAACAAATGCCGCCTTGATGAACAGAATCATTTTCTTAAAAAAAAAAAACCTGACCCCACATTTTTGACCGGTAGTGTATATAAACATATAAACAGGGATGGGTATATAAACAGTGGTTTGGCTTGGTTTTAAAAACTTAAACAAAAAGACAAATAAAATATCATCATTTATTTGCCTATTTTGGCAGTAAGGATCTTACATACCTGTTTATATATATATATATATATATATATATATATATATATATATATATATATATATATATATATATAATTACTACATGATGCCATATCAGATTTCTATGGGTGTACAGCTTCCACAAGGCAACATTTGTATCACGATACATGACCACATTCAACTCTGACAAGCCATTCTAAAAAAATCATCATACAGAATACATCTGAAAAATTACAGACACTCTGGAATGTTTTATGTACAATACAATTTATGTGCGTATACATGTGAATGGTTCTGTTTTATCTGTGGAATATATAAATATGTACAAACAAATATTTTCATAAATTAAATACACAATACTGAAGAAATCTCATCCTTGGGTCGCTGAATGGGCAGATCCAAATTAACAGCCATTGTTGTTGGAAAAGTACTATTTTACAACATTGCTGGGGGTATTGTAAATGCAGTTTATTTTAGAAAGCTACCTGTTCATTTCTGTTAATTTTTAAGCTCAATGCTACTTGGCTGCAGGAATTTCAGCATGTTGCTCAAATCACTTGAAGGTATGTTGCTTTGAAGTCTGTTCCCAAGGCATTTCTAGCATTACATTTATAAATCCCTGAGTTCAAGAGACCTGGGTCCTGAATGACCAAACTTCCCTCCTCAGTCATGTGAATTCCACCTGGTGTTGTGAAGCGATTATTAGGTACAAGTGTGGTACGTCCAGGAAGAGTCCAAGAAATATCTGGTTTAGGTATGCCAGCAGCAATACAGTTCAAAACCACAGGAGAGCCCTTGTTAACTCTAGTTATTGAAGGTGGAGCGTGAGTGATTTGAGGCGGAAACACCATGATACTGACTGGATATGACAAGGTTGATAATCCAAATGTATTTTTGGCTTTGCAGGTATATGTTCCTCTGTCAAGTTTGGAAGTTTCTTTTATCTGAAGTGTGCCATTAGATAAATACACTACTCTTCCAATAGCCTGAGGCTTGTCTAAGACCAGGCCATTAGGAAGAGTCCAGGTAATTGTTGCCTGTGGATAACCATCAGCATTGCATGGCATATTTAGTGTCTGCCCAAATGAAATTTTCATTGTAGCAGCTGTACTTCTAATCTGAGGCTTTTGTCCAAGTTCTAAAGAATAGCGCTTTTCTGCTTGTCCAGCAACATTTTTGGCCAGGCATCGATATACACCTTTGTCAATGACACCTGGCTGCATAACGTGTAAAGTCCCGTTTTCCAAGTAGTGAGTGAACCGATGAAGCTTCATTCCTGGATTCAGCACTGTTCCACTGGGTAGAATCCAGAGAATCTCTGGCTTTGGTCTTCCTGTTGCACGACATTCCAGAAAGATGTCATCTCCATCTGGTTTGAGAGGAAGAACCTCAATGTTTGGCACCGTAAAACTCGGCTTTTCAGCAAGTGATGCAACTTCCAGGTCAACCACCAGGCTTGCTTCCCCCAAGTAATTCTTGGCTATGCACAGAAACCGACCTTCATCGGTCTTTCGAATGCCCCTCAATTCAAGAGTTCCGTTTCTGTGGACTTGGAACCTCCCTCCCAAATATGGGGTAGGTAGAGACATGCCATAAGGTGTGGTCCAGGTGATCTGTGGCTCAGGCATTCCCTCTGCCTTGCAGTCTAGCAGGAGGGTCTGGAAATACACAGCTAAGACTTTGCTTACAGTTTGCCCACTTTGTTTGTTGATTTGCGGCTCTTTAACCTCAACTAGGAGCTTTACATTCCCAATGTTTGCTCCAGCAGGGTTCTGTGCCACACAAGAATACTTTCCCTGGTCGGCCAAAGTCAGCTTTTTTATGATTAGAGTCCCATCATTTAGAATTTGGTATTTGACCGAAGATGAGGTAATTATCTCATTCCTTGGTGAGATCCAAATAATTGTATGTGGTAGAACACCTGGAGCATCACACTTTATTTGGGTTGATTGCCCGAAGGGGACCCGCATGGTTTCCGGCTCTTTCGTGGATAATTGGGGTGGGGTTGTCATCACTTGCACACTTACTTTCATTGCGTCCTCTCCCAGTGTATTTTTAGCATAGCATGTATAATTGCCTTCATCCTTCTTTCCCATTTGTTGCAACAAAAGCGTACCATTCCCAAAGATGATATAGCGCCGGTTACGGGATCCATTGTCATCTGACTGAAGGGCATTGTTGATCATGGTGCCATCTGGGAGGCTCCATGAAACCTCAGGGTCTGGAAGGCCTGAGGCGATACAGTCCACTAGAAAGTTGTCTCCATTTGCAACTCTTTTATGTTGTGCCCCAGCGTTCTCTATCTTTGGTGGCCTCATGAGAACCTCTACTTGGAACAGTTCCATGTCCTCACCATTTGGTCTTTGGTACATGCACAAATAATTGCCTCCATCTTTCTCAGTCAGTCTCAGAATCCTCAGAGTGCCGTTGGGAAAAGCAGTGATGTGTCTGTGTGGACTGAGAACAAAAAAGAGAGAAATTGTTTACATCTTATCTCATGACAGCTGAGCTCTGTCATAGTAATTACTTTTAAAGTAATTGCTGTAATTGTAGAATAAAAGAGCTCACAGCCTTTCTTTTAAGCTACAGTGTCTGAACAGTGCAGTTTATTTTCCATGTGCTTTGTTTATTGTCATATTATAAAATATAAAACTTTTTTACATAGAAACTTTTGGTCTATGGGAAATCTTTTTTTATTCAAACTTTGTACTAAATCTTAGCTGTAGTTTTGGTCAATGTCCAATCCCAATTCTATTTTTTGTAACAGTAACTTTATACTACACAATGTAAAAGGTCATTCCCAGCCAATAGACTTTTCTGATTATTCGAGCGTCATTCGAGTGTTGTGGGACTGCTATATAGGAGTATAGATAGCGGAAGTTTTTTGTTCTAGTGTTTTGAAAAACATGAACACCCTTATGAATGTATTAAAACATATTAAAACCTTGTAAAAACATTGTAAAAATTCATAATGACAAAAAATACTAATTTTAGCATCTCCTTACTTTCGTGTGCAGCCATGTTGCTGTTGCAGCTGGTGTATTCTGGCAAAGTTTTATACATCTTGGTTTCTAGTGTGGTCCTGAAAAATCTGTTTCAAGGGCTGTCTAGCCCTTCCCCTTAGCTCTACGCCTTCAAGCTAAAGAGAATTGGGACACCCCTACCCCT